GAAGCTAAAGTGCTCTGGGACTTTAGAATTCAAACAGGCAAGCACCTGCCACACAACACCCTAGACTTAACAAGTGTTGATAAGAAAGACAAAAAAAGTCTGGATAGTGGACATTACAATTCCTGGAGACAGCAGAATAGAAAAGAGAGAACTGGAGAAAATCACAAAATACAAAGACCTGCAAATAGGAGTAGAACGACTGTGGCAAAAGAAAGCAAAGATAGTACCAATAGTAATAGACCCCTTGGGTGCAATTCCAAAACATCTGGACCATCACTTGAACACCATCAGCATTGACAAAATCACCACCAGTCAATTGCAAAGGGCAGCTTTACTTGGAACAGCTTATACCTGCAATGATACCTTTAATATTATTAAACATCTGCCTATCCTAGGTCCTTGGGAAGGACTCAATAGGTGGACAAAAATGCCAAAACCAGTCTAAACATCTGGCTGACTGTGCAACTGACCACAATAATTTATTAAATTTATATGCTGCCCAACTCCCAGCGGGTCTTAATGATTTTCTCCACATTGACAAACAACTGGCATGGTACCAAAGGTAGACTGTCATGCATATTAAGAACAACTTTATTTGGAATGCTTATTATGAAGAGTATTGATAGCTAGTGACATAGAAACACATTTTAATACTATGTTTTTCTTTTTTCAGAAACAAACTAGTCAACATGATAAATTAGCCTTTTTTAATTACATGAATACCCTACGTTTCCTTCAAGGAGCTTAAAAAAGAACACACTGTTCTTACCTGTCCACAGGGCTAACACAATTCTACTTGTTTCAGCAGGAAGGTGCCTACCAACTGTTTATGGAGGACATGTCCTCACAACATCTTCCATCTCACTGCTAGCCCACTATGGAGGCAGGCTGAACCAGATTCTGGAGTGAAAGGAGCATTTTTCCTGGTACTGCAGTACAAAGCCTCCAGTGGACATTCTAGACCAGTGTTGTCCAAACTTGGCCACTTTAAGATGAGTGGACTTTAACCCCCCCAAAATCCCCATCCCGGTTGGGGGATTCTTGGGGTGTTATTCCCCCATCTTTAAAAGGCGCAGTTTTGGCAACACTCGTCTCGAAA